TGGGGGGGGGGGGGAAGAGGAGGAGGGATTGGTGTTTGAGATGAGGTAAAATGGCGGATGTCCAGTGGAGGTGTTGAAGGAGTTTCGATGACAAAAAAAACAAATTGAAAAATTAATCGAGAGCTTTTTTTTATTTTTTCTAGACTAACGCTGTATTTCTTGTTTCAATAAATTGTTTACAATAATTCTCATTGCAAAAAGGAATACGACGGATGAGAATCATATGTCCCAATTTATCAGCTGTTAAATTTTCCTATTACAATAAATGATTTGCTCATGCTCTAATTCCTATGCTCACTGAATAAGATTTTAATCATAATTACAATTAAATTCTTTCCAGAGCGCACTTTAGAGTGTGAATTTTTGGAATTCAATGTTTGTGGATGCTCTGGTTAAAAGGCGTGCCCACACTGTTATCAATTTTTAGTTAGTTCACAAGGTAAATTCAATTAATCTGTTGTTCATCTCATCAATATAATTCCGTGCTTAGAATATTGTCATCTCGTGTTATCAGCACCAAATTAAAAATTAAAACTTCATTTTGAATATTGAGTCACAGCTTCTTTTGATTCACATCAGAAATTTAGTATTTGGATATTAACATTATTTGTTCAAAGTGAAATAATCCATCATTTTCACTATACTACATTCAGATTCTCCTATCCTTAACGTCCAAAATGTGAGATAATCTCATAATTCTAGCTATTAATTTTAATCAACTTTGTTCGAAGAAAACCTTAGTAAACGCAATATTAAGAAAGTAGAATTATTCTAGTTTCCTCTGACCCAATTTGACCTGATTTGGACAATTATAATTCGCTTATTCATGTTTCATAGAATGGTTTCAGTTCTCTTTTGTTGTTAGCAACTTGAAGAGGCTAAGGGCTTCGTTTTCTGCACCAAAGAAGAGAAAAAAAATTGAATTTGCAAGGAAAAAGAAATATCAATACACTATTTTGTAGAAAAATTACGGATGTACGTTCTCAGACCGAGAGCCAAATTTCCGGTGCTAAGCAATAAAAAAAAATGATTAAAAAATTCAGGTTAAAAGGGGAAACGATAAAGTCGTGTTATCACTTCTGGAACAGTGATATCCATTGTCCTCCATTACCGAGGAATGGGAAGTGGTCGTCGGTCCCCAGAGATGACTGTGGAGTTACGCATGAACTTGCAGCCATTGAGAATAATTTATCAGCGCTAGTGAACTTTCATTTGCCCATGAGAATCTTTTTTTGCACCAAAAAAGCCAATTGTATTTTTTATATTATAAATGAGTATAGTTATTGTGGCTAATAAGTTTGCAATTTACATTCGAATCGGTTCTGTTTTTAAAATTCTTATTTCGCTACTGTCTCTTTCTATTTTTTCATGTCACAGTACTATCAATTGAAATGTCATCAAAATTTTGCGTATTATTTTGTTCTGTCAAATAATTCTACATTGAGACCCTCTCAGGACTCAAATTGGTTTTCAGTCCGGGTTTAATCAAGGTTCAATCAAGGTTTAATCAGTGTATAGCCGGGATTTAATCAGGGTTTATTCAGGAATTAGCCAGAGTTTAACCCAGGTTCTGTCAGAAGTTAGTCGGGACCATGAATCAATATGAATAAGTATTCAACATAATAGACTGCTACCTGAGTTTAATAGAGATAGAGATTTTTATATAAAAATCTCATGACGGTATTGTGTAACTTGATAAGCAATGATGCTGTTCTCACCATTTTTCAACTTGATTAAGAAGCCATTGAAATATACTTTTCAAGCCCTGATTTAATTGCTATTGCTGATGATTCTTTCAGTAATCATGAAAACCCCATTTTCTCTTTCAAATCGCATAAACAATGTGCTGTAACTCAACAACCAATTGTGCGACCCTCACCATATTCTGATAGAATCAAGAGGGTCTTGTTATCAATTTTTTGAGCCACGACTAGTTCCACTTTGATGACAATTTTCTGAGTGATCGTTGAAAAATCATTTTTTGGAAAAATATCAATTTTTTCGAATCGGTGTGAAAAATTGAATTTTAATTGTTGTCAATGAATGGAGTTCATTAAAGTCAATATTCATGATAAAATTCATGAAATTCTATTGATCCTACTTAAGAAAATTTTGTTACCCTAAAACTTCACTAAGAATGGGGCGAAATGGGTCGTCATATTGAGTTTTTCGGTTAATTTTTCCCTGACTATCCAATGACTTTATAGTCGATATTTAAAGATTTTCAATTTTTTTATTTATTTAAAATTTTCCCAACAGGCGGAAGCATCGAATGGTAGTTGCGGAGAGAGGCGAGACTGCCTGGTATTGATCCGACTCTCTCCCCTCTCGGCCCCACCCGACTGCCGCCCATCCACCCGTACCAACCCAAATCCACCCTGACTCGTCGTTCCATTCGGTCTCTTTGCCACACCCGCAAAAAAAATTGTACGTATCCTCTGGGAAATTTTTCAACATTGCATGCATCAACTCTGTTGACTTGTCAGTTGTCAAAAGAGAAACTTTGATGAAAAAAAAAACAAATCAAAATCTAAACGAAACCCATTTCTGGGGGCCGAGAACCCATTCTGCCCCCTGCGGGTTTATAACCGGAGTTTTTTATGTGAAGGGTAAATGATTATGTAATTTAATTTATAATACAACAGAGAGAAAATGATTTGAAGAATTCAATTTTATTTCATTCCGGTCGTAAGACAGAGATTTATGGATGGGTAGTGCGTACAAACCTGTAATGATAATAATTGGTGTTTAATAAAGAAATATGAAAATTATAAAACTGAAACATCAATTATTTGAGATAGTAAAAATTCTTTTCTGTAAAATATAATAATAGTAATATAATATCTCTCT